CTGAAAGACCATTGCTCTGTCTTGTTGGTTGAATGTCTCTTTCTATTTGTTTTGCTAACATATTGACACTCTGTGCAACAGGGATTATTTTTGCACCGAGTCGGTTACAAAAAGTGATATTACCTCCATGGACCCTGGAGATCGAGTTCTCCCTTCATGAAGTTCAGCCTTTTGGTATAGTAGAATTCTTTGCTGTCTGAGGAGTATGTGGGGTTGTGTTGAAAATCCTGTTTTAGGAAAAACTGTTCTCATCACAGTTTAACTCTCAGTGCCTGGGTGTTGATCTGTAACAGACTACCTGTCTGTGAGAGTCTTGCTAACTGCCTGTCTCTCTGTGCTGCTGTGCATCTATACAAAAACTGTCAGCCTATCTTTCTGTTTGTTTCTTACTGTAACTCTGGCTGTCTTTAACTCCCTCTTCCTCTCCCCCCAGTCTCTGGTCCAGACGGGGGAGGCCATGCACTGTCCTCAGTGTGGGATCATTGTCCAGAAGAAGGAGGGCTGTGATTGGTTGCGCTGTACTGTCTGTCACACTGAGATCTGCTGGGTCACCCGGGGACCACGCTGGGGGCCAGGGGTGAGGGCTGACTCTTCTCATTTCTGTGTCTGTTTACCTTCTTTTCAGCCTGTCCAGTATTCTTTGGAAGCATAGGTATGACCAATAAGACTTCTATGACAACCTGTTCCCATCTGGTGTTTGAATTTAATCCAGTTCCATAAATAATGATTTCATTACACCATTTTCTTATACATAGATTGCCAGCACTAATAAACTGCTATTAAAACATTTATAATAATACACTATTCAGTGCCATAAAGCAGGGGGAATAGATTCAGGTCCTTTTGCTTGGATGTATTTTTTTAAATTTAGAATCTCCAGTTATTTGATTGGAATTGAGAATTGTATAACCACACACAGAGGAATGTAAAGGCAGACTCAACCCTTCTTTCAACCCACTCATCTTCTAGCATGTCATGGGAAATGCATTCCTGTAGAGGAAGTTTAGAGCTGATTGGAGGAGTGACACATCCGTCACCATCCCTGAAAACCTGTAAGTGCTCAGGCATAGAGATTGCCATCTCAGACAATCCTGCTCAGCGCCACCCAGCCAACTATGAAGATCTCAGTCACAGTCCGCTAGTGCCATGACCCAGGTTAAACCCTACAATAATAAAGCTCAGCCTGCTGTCAGACAAGCGCCTTTACTAGTTGAGCCACTTGTGAGATCTCAGAATTTATTTTTAAATGCAGAAAGATAATCTTATGCAAAAGAAATCCACATGCAGGAGATAAGACCTATGGTCCCAAATTTCTGAATTTTGTGTACGAAGTGTATACTGTTTAACATGAGTACTGTATAGTGTCACATTACAAGTGAATATATTCTTTGGCCTACATTTTCAGTGAATACCAAGGCAAATGAAGTGTCATGAGGTCATGAAGATCATGGCAGAGCTTTCTTGACCAAAATTGAGAGCCTGAGAGTAAGAGTGTACTTCTGTAGTGAAATAGGTAGATATGTTTACTACTCTTTCAAAAACATTAATCATGTATGGCAGCTTTGACAAAGGTTTGAAATTTTCCAATAATTTTTATAACTTCTACTGTCTAGCAAACAGCTGCTTATACAACAGTAATGTACTCAAATATACCAGGGCATTAAAACAGCAACAAGTCATGTAAAATATAGTGTTGTGGTTTTAATGCCTTTAATCCCAAAGTAAAAGGCATTAATTCACTGAAAATGTAGTTCAAATTGAATGAAGAATGTTGGGATGAAAAGCAAATTGAAACAATTCTGTTCTGTGAATAGTGTGAAACTATCCTTATCATGTGTGTGAACTGAATAGAGCAATGCAAGTTTCAGGATGCAGGAAGACACGGAACAGCACAGCATGGATTTGGAATGAGTTGATTACGGAAGTCCTCTGGAAAATCAGAGAGAAACCTTATAGCGTACTTCTGAAGAACACATTGCCAATAGCTCTTTTATACACTTCCTGTGGAAGGAGTCCATCTGTTGCGTTGCCTTATAGGGCAAGGCAGGAAATGTCATGTCAGGACAGACTGGTTATTTCGGACAGCAGGACACAAATTCCACAAAATGAAAGTCCAGCTGTGTAACATTCAAGGGCCCTTCTCAGCTTGCATAAAGATCCCTCCATACCACAACAGTTGGACCGCCTGCTGTCTCAAACATGAAGGAAAGTAAATTCAGTCTAATCGCTACTCAAGTCACTTCTGTGGCTGTTACTGTTCAGTGCTAGTTACAATGGCAACAGCCAGAAACAATTTCTAAACAAGCTTTCAACAAAATAAAAACTCTTCCCCTACCCAGACAGCAATAGGGACAAACAAACATGAGCACAAGAGTGGAAGGAGTGATTTTTATGAACATGGGGAAGAATATAAAACAATACTGCACCTAGGTCTGGATTCAGATCAATCCCAAAAGCCTCCATTCTATTATTCTGACAGTAATGCTTGTGGTAAGATACAGTACATCACTTACAGTAATAATGGCAGTGTTACAAGACAGATCAGTAACACTGCAGCTGAAATACAAACACTGAACTGATTCCAGGGCAGTAGCGGTCTTAAGCAGTAAAAAGGGCTGACAGGTAATTTACTGCTTGTGTGTAGTTATTGAATGTTATACTTTTCATTATGTGTTTTGAAACTAAACCATCAATATTGCATTTTTTTGGACAAGCAAAATGTTAATGAGCAAATAGGCAATCAATGAAAATGAATCATGTGTGCTTGCTTAAATATTAGCAACTAATAAAATTACTTTAATTAAATCAATTTTCTAACCTCTTAATCCAATACAGGGTTCCAGGCAAACCAGAGCCTATCCCAGCAACCAATGGCCACAAGGCAGGATACACCCTAGCCACTCCAGTCCATCACAGGGCAGGCGCGCACACACACATACACACTAACTCCACGCAGAAAGAACCCCAGGTCAGGAATGGAATCCAGGAGGGCCCCAGTGCTGCACCACCATGCCTCCCTTACTTTAATTCATTTTACAAAATATGTTTTTATGTCAGATCTGATATAGAAGCAACAGTTAGGAAACAAAACTACACAAGTCCTCAGGTGGAAAAATTTTGGGAACCACTGAACAGTGGAACATTAGAACAGTATTTTGCGAAGTTGACATAGCATGTACTAAAGGGTAGAAATTGACCCTTTAGTACATGCTATGATTAAATACCATTATATAATACCATTACCATATAATGTATGTATACCATTATATACATTAAATGTTAAAGTTTTTCAGTGAGCCACTACTTGATGCTTGTGTTGCAGGGCCCAGGAGACACCAGTGGAGGGTGCCGCTGTAATGTCAACAGGAAGCGCTGTCACCCCGAGTGCCAGAATTGCCACTAGTGCCCCCTGTGGTGGGCCACTGCATTGCATCTGAGGGAGAGCCTGTAGGGAGGAGAGGAGAGTGTGTCCATTACCCCTGCAGGGCAGTGGAGGGAAGAAGGCGTGAGAGAGGTGTGTTTGTCAATCATGCTGCAATCTGTTCTTTACATGCCCAGTACTGCTCCCAAACTGTTCTCAGGGCCGAGACAGTGCATATATACTGTGCTATTATAAAAGGCTCAGGTCGAATTAAATGCATGGATGCATAAATCAGTGATTAGTTAATTGCTTCTGCCTCTAACAGTGTAATAAACAGCAGTTGCCCTAAATATAACACACTGTATATGCTGGATGGATTAAGTTAATGAACACAGGATTGTATGAATGCATTTCCAGAATATGCCGACTGTGATGTATCATTCATGTCTCTTCTGGCATGGTCTGTCAGACTGTCAGAGGTGTTGGTTTGTCTCCTGAGACACACACAAATCCCGTTCCTCTAGGGTCACCAGTGCTTGTGAATTTTTGCCTGTAGCAATGAAGGTTATTGCTAAGGCCATCCTTTGCTCAAGACTGATAAGTCTTGCAAATTGTGCCTTATTTTCAATAAATAGTCATTATTCTGACAGCCTGAGTCCAGTTTTTTCTCTCTCTTACAATTAAGGCTTAAGGATTTTTTTTAACCAGTGTTGACTATATAAAACACCCCCCTCCAAAGCAGTTTACACGTTACATTAAGGACCACATTGGCAGTAGTTTTTTTTACAGGAAAATCCCCCTGTCTGATCTCACATTGAAATCTGATGCATTTGACTAAATTGATTTTAATAACTGGAAATGCCCCGTTTTGACAAAAAACTGTTTCTTCTTCTCCGATACATGCATAAATAGGAATTTAAGGTTATTTTCACATTCAGACACCAATATTCAAAAGGAGTGACATTTCACAAATTGGTGCGGACAGCCCAAAATGCAGACTTACATACTTCTTAAAAGTTAGTGAAAAAAAGTTTAAGAAACAATGCAAAATGTCAATCCAAAACCCAGGTGTTTTATTAATTTAAAAAAAAGGCTGATAGAACCTTTAAAAAAAACATAATAATGAGGCAAGTGAATGTGAACGACAGAGCTCTATCCCCAGTTATTCTGGCTGGTTCCTGCATAGCAGTGAGGGTCAAGATGAGGCTACAGCACTGTGGAAGTTACAAGAGACACTTCTCTGCTTCCCCATTGGCAAAGTAGTGCTTCTGTGTCAGGTCACCTGTCCTTCAGTTCTAACCCTAACCCTCAGACCCTCTGCTCTGAAGTTCCCCCACACCACTGTCCATTCTCCCAGAGCCTTAGCTCTGACAATTACCCCACACCCCTGTCTGCTCTCCCAGTGGCCCAGGACTGACAATCACCCCACACTGCTGTCTTCTCTCTCAGACCCTCATTTCTGATAATGACCCCACACCACTGTCCACTCTCTCAGACCCTCAGCTTTAACATTAGTCCACACTGCTCTGCTTGTCCACCACCACTCTCCATCTCTTCCCACCCACCCTCCTCCTGCTCTGCTCTGCTCCAGTGCTTGCTCTTCAGTGCTTGCTCTCTCGCAGGAGTCGTGGAGGGCGGTAGAGTGTGAAGGCAGGCGTTTTGGAGGAGCTGGGAAAGGAGCACAAGTGCCGTCTTATTTCCAGAAGAGGATGTTCCAGAGCAGCAGCCAGCAGGGGAAGATGAAAAGGGCCAGCAAGGGGTAGAGTAGTGAGCCATAGAGGTGGTGGTCCAGGATGCCCTGCGAGACGGCTGACAGGAACAGTCCCCATCCCTCCAGCAGTGTCAGCGGGGCCTCCTGCAACTCCTGGTACAGGAAGAGGCACAGCAGGAGGGTGCAGCCCGGGCTGAGCAGGATCATGGCACCGGCACACAGGAGCCTGGAAGACAAATGGAGAGGAGGAGGATAAGTAAGGGGGAAAGCGAGAGTGGAAGCAAAAAATCTATATTCTGTGCAGCGTGATCCTGTTTGTGTGTGTCTGAGTGTGTGTGTGCAGTAATTCTCAAGTCCTTGAGTGCTTACCTGGGAACATGAGGGGTGATTAAAGCTGCGATGGGCACCTGTGTGAGGGCCAGGATAAAGCCTAGTGAGAAGTTGATGAGGGCGGTGCAGCCGAGCAGCACAGCCAGGTAGAGCAGCCCCAGCAGCTTCAACAACCGCCAGCCACGCTCTGTACCCTCCCCGGACAGCACCCTGCGAAAGAGCAAGTTGGAGAGGAGACATTACCATAGTAACACTCTCGCCAGGCTCCTACGAGAGAGAGGGACAGAGCATGCCATTCTAGTTTCCCTCGACTATAAGACAAGAGGAGAGGAAACTACGAGGTACTATGGTTATAAAGGAGAAGAGGCCTCTCAGCCCACTGGGTAGTTAGTTGCTAACTAATGTGAGGATCTCATCCAGCCATTTCTTGATAGAAGCCAGAGTTATGGTTTCCACCACTTAGCTAGGTAGCCTATTCCATACTCCCACACCAATCTTTTGCATGAAGAAGTATCTCCTATTCTTGCTGTGTCCTGTTCTGGGATACAAAAACCCACAGTCAGCCCTCTCCAACCCCTGGTGCCATGGACTCTCCCATCAGTGCAGGTTACCTGTGAGTGTTGTGTGGCAGTGCCAGCCCGGCGACGTAGATGGTGATAGCAGTCAGCACCACAGCCTCTGTCTCAGACACAGGGAAATGCTGCACTGCTGCATGCTGGGACAGCACAGGTAGGATGTAGAGTGCAACTCCTGTCAGATGACTGATTAACACTGGCGTCACCAAGGAGAGTACACCTGGGCCGGATACCTAGGAGATAGAAAAAGGGAGAGAAGGGAGTGCGCAGAAAGACAATGTAAAAGTAAATGGTGGAAAGAAGGAATGAAAGTGGAGAAAAAGTAGGACAGGAAAAGACAGTTTCTCAGTGACATATCCATTATCATCTGACCAATGAACTCTATAACCCTTTGTGAGCGTTCTGCGTGTTACACAGCACAGATAACCCTGCTCATGGCACTGGATGATCTCCTGATGCCTCTAAATTCAGACTAATTAACTATTGTTGTTTTTTTGGGGGATTTTAGCGCTTTTGAACCCCCTGGAGCACTGTGCATGTACTTCTGGCTATGAAAGGCATTTGCATCGGTGCGTGTCTATATCAAAAACAGGCTTCACATTCTAAATGTGTACGATTCCACTTGCTCAGGTGAGGATGTGCTCTCCCAGTTAAGATGGCAATAATCAGATTCATCAACAGGCTAGAACTGATCTAGTGGCTCTTTCTAGATGGCAGAATTTAGTCTATGGATCCAGTCCTTTTATAATGTAACAGTTTTGCTTCAGAAAAGCAAAATGTCTTCCTTTAATAGGCTATAGTATAAATAGTATTCAGTCATTTAAAAAAAAAAGTTATGCAGCTTCACTACTTTTTTCTCTGGTCTGGCACCAGATGGTACTTATGGGAGGATATTACAATCCACACACTTCGGACTCTTATCCATTCCAAAAACAAGCTTCGACAGTGTGCTGTAATGCACTAAGTTGATAGCACAGCCTGCCAGATCAGCTTCACAGCCTCTCTCTTTTAAATTTAATCTGAAAAGGTGCGGTTACATGTGCATGTAAATATGTGGACTTGCTTTCTTTGTTATCATATATTATGGTGGAAGAGTTTCATGTGCCTCTGACATTGATATAGCATTATCTCTTCCTTACTTATATTTTTATGTTATCAAACCACCTCCCAGTTCCAATCTATTCATACATATTGTTGTTCTTGCTGCCCTGTGAACAGACAACTGCCCCTTCTAGTTGTAGGGACACTAAGACAACAGTCAAACTGACCTCTTCTCCTTCTACAGTTCCATCTTCCAGGCCAGCTATCGGGGTGCTGAGCTGCACCCAGAGGTCCAGAGCATGTGTTACTGTTAAAGACTGGTACAGTGATGCATACTGACAATATCTCCCTCTCCCTCAATCATGCCCCCCCCCCTTCCCTCCTCCCTCTCCATCTCTCCCTCTCAGGTTCAGTGGCAGGATACTCGCAGCAGCAGTATGAGAGCCAGCAGGCTAAAGGCTGGCATGTAGTAGCCTATGGAGACGAAGCGAGAGAGCGAGGGCAGCAGGTAGAAGAAGTAGGACTGATGCAGACGTTCCAGCAGGTTATTTAGCTTCCGGTACATCCCCTCCAGCAGCCTGAAGAGTACAGGGACAAATGCATAAACACCAGTCACACATGCCAGACATGCAGTGGAATCTACACTGCAGAGGCCTAATCCATGGACACAACAAGAGTCACACAATGTAATCTATGCTACAGAGAGATAATATTAAATTATGACTACTGTACAAAAGGCTGATATAAAAACCTTCTGTAGCGCATCTACATTCCAACACATTGTAGGCGCCACCTACTTGCCCACTGTGGTGATGTCCGTCTTGTACTGACGGAAGCTGTTGATGCCACGCACTGTGGCAGCCTCGATGTGGTAACGGAGGAAGAGGCCGTGATCACCCCAAGGCCGCCCGCTGGCCTGGCGCAGGACCATCAGCAGCATTGTCTGCACTGAGTGGGTGTACCCAGCTACGGTGTCCCAGTCATTGCGCTGGAGCTGCAGGGGTAGAGGAGGGAGTGAGTGCCACGTACCTCATCGTGCCCTGTGTGTTTCAGCAGCAGAAAGGGACAGAACCTTACAGCGCTACCGCATGTACCTTTACTTTTAAACACAGTAGGACCACTATTTTTTTTATTTTAGAACTTGGAATTGTCATTATGTCTCAGCTCACATGGACACAATCAGGTAGTGCACTTAGGCTCCTCTAACCTGACCACCTATCAGGCAATCCTGCTCCTGACCTCTTGCAAGAGCTGTAACGATTTACAGCCGCCTGGGGAATGCCAGTAACTGGTGGCTGTTGACTCAAGATGTCTAGAGATAATAATATCATTTCCTGTTTTAATATTTTTGCGAACTATGCAGTCTAGATTCTTGAAGTTGGCTTTGCGCCCAAATATATAAAGATGCTGCCTGTCCCTGGTCAATAAGATAAAGGGCATGTACTTGGTAAGCTGCCTGTACGCCCAGAACGTGAAAAGAACGAACTGTTGTCTAGTCTGCAACTTAGATATGATTAATTGGCATGTGTTGCTGTCTTATCATTTGTTTAGAATGTGTCATAGTAAGTGGTTTGTTTTAAGGTATAAAGGACCATCTTCAGCTACTTATTTTTAGGTCTGGTGGTTGCAAACTGGACTTACATATGCATATGAAATAAAGAGACTTCTGCTTCACAGACACCTGAACTTTGTCATTTGTATGACACAACAACTGTAAAGACAAAAAGAAAATGTGAAGATTGACTAAGAGAGAGAGATAGACAAAGACAGTGAACTACTTACCTTGCCCTGTATGGTACAGAGGATGCCTGTTTTCTGGCAGAAGGCATAGAAGAGGTTTGTCAGGTCCAGGTTGGGCAGCTGCCCATTCAAACCCTCCAGCACCAAGTCCAGGCTGGTGATGACGTCACTGCTGAGCTCCAGAGACAGGGCTGCCTGAATTGAGCCCCCACGACCCTGCAGGGGCTGGGCGCTGATGCCTGCGAAGTGGAGAAAAGTCTGTCGTTATAAACTTATAACAGATTGCCCTGACTCGCTCAATACAACACGACCGCCTTCCTGTATAGACTGACCTGTGATGTTGACATCGTGGTAGCCCTCCAGCCAGGCCTCCATGCCGATCAGGTCATGGTCATTCACCAGGAAGATCAGGTCTTTCGCCCAGTAGATCTGACCTGATCACACAACCCACCCAATGATCACAATAACAATTACTGGTGGAATGTAATGCAAAACAGGCAAAACATGCTTCTGTATAGAGAGCAACATTTAGAATTGTGCACATAAACTCTGTAATCTGAAAGAAACACAGTGCAAAAATCTTGATAAACCAGATAGAAAGTATGGGTCCTTGTTGCACAAACCTTGTGTAAACCTCACAGTACTACAAGTACTAATTTTGGATTAAATCCTTACCATCCATATATGTGAAGACTAATAATTCTTTGTTTGCGCTAGTGTGTCGGCATGTATCTAGGAATTGTGGCTCACCTCTGAAGTACTGGGCCAGGCTCAGCAGCAGCCCCACAGCCTGGTTGTTGGCTGTGCCTGGACTGCAGGGGGCACTCAGAACCAGAGACTCAGTCCGCGGCGCTCGGGGGGCACGCAGGATACCGTAGACATTCGTGCCTTTCACCATCTGGGAGAAAGAGTGAAGGAGTTGGGGTGAGAGAGAAAGTGGTGAGGGACATGGGCAGATGTGGATCAGGACAGCAGGAAGAGGGGGTAGTGGGGCAAAAGACAAGGAAAACCATAAAACACTGACGTTGTCTATTAAAATTGAAAAAGTCTTATTTCTCTGAGGCATTGCCTGGCCATACCAGCTGCTTGATTCATTAGCCATTTGTAGGGTACGAGACACAAATAAGAACAATCTAAAAACAGGATTCATAGCTGGTTCAAGTAAAGGCTATGACAGTAGGTTGAGACCTGTGGCACAGAAGTCGCCGGTTAAAGTCTAAATGACACACAGTTGTATAAGCATGACTGAGGTAGGGATGGTGTTAGCCACAGTTCTTCTGGAGAAAAAGTCACTCCTGCTGCCTCCTGGGGGCCTTCATGTATACAGTAATGTCACTGCCATCAGCACAGTGCCCGACAGTATACCTTCCAGGGTCTCAAGATTCATGATACAAACCAGTATATCATGTCTGCCTGTCCTCTTTCTCCTCATCAGGTTTACATCACTAATTACCTTCTTGTCAAGAAGCAAAAGAATAATTTCACCACTGTATTTTTTTAGAAATCTAGAATCATCAATATGTTTGTAAAAGCAACCCAGTCTGGAATCACCAGTCGCATGCTTTAGCTCTCCTCACACAGGGGAGAATAAAGACGTGCAGACCGGCTCATCCGACCAGTTAATGATCAAGCCACTTGGTTCTTAATGAATGGGGTTTGCCACTGATAGGAAATCCGACAGTACTGGAGCCTGCAAGCACCCTGAGAGGCTGGATGGATCGACAAGAGCCCTTGAATCTTTGAGTTGAATCCTGCTCACAGCTGGCACATAACATGACCCAGGCCTGAACCTGTGATCGACAAGACCCATTACCATATGATCCACTGGAAAGGCCCAATTTGACCACTTCTTGGTTGTTGTTTTTTTTGTATTTGGTTAAGCTAAAAGCAAATATCAGGCTGTTTGAAGATGATGTTAGAGTGCTTGGGTTGATTCTGCAAACAGAACAAGAGGGACTCTTCAGTCTCTAGAACAGCAGTGGCGGACAGATCCTTCTACAAGTTTCATCCTGGATACCCAGTCACTGCAGGTTTTCTGCAACTATTTTTCTATCATACCAGGTGTCTCTGCTTTGCTTCTAGGTTTCTAGGTACAGTAGACAGAATGTGTGTACATGCACGTGTACTCACATATCTCTCCTTGCTCTCGTCAGGGAAGGGCAGTGTCCGGGAGAAGGTCTGAGTGTAGACCTCCAGGCCCCGGCTCTGCATGGCCTGCACCAGCCACTCCACTGGCATCCCACTACACAGGAAGGAAGGCCATCAAGCAAAGGAGGAGGAAGGGAAGGGAGAGAAATAGAGAAGGGGAAAGGCAAAACAGCAATGCTTTAATTTGCAGATTTTCTTGTGTGCTGTAAACACAATATATGAACTATCAATACAGCTAAAAAGGTTAGAAAAAATGAGCATGCCACTTAACCAGTCTAACTTAAGTGCTAGTAGATAATCCATCACAAATTCTTATCCCAGTTTCTTCAAGGATCTAGAATCATCATCTTTAACAAAGCATGTATTCCAGATTTTACGTGTGAAGAAGAGTCTTGTGTTTCACACCTTATTATAGCTTGAAGCCTGGGTCACTTCTAAGCCTCCCCACTGAGCAGGTGTGTGTTTCTTTACTGACCTGTGGGCAGTGTGTCAGCAGAAGACTGCACAGCGTCAGACTCACCCTGCCTTCTTCTTGTGTACGGCGAACTCCCTGGCAGCCGACAGTGCCCGCTCGCCCCCGGTGAAGCGCTCCTCCACCATGGTGGAGCCCATGGCGTTCTCGGACATGTAGGTGCGCAGAGTGAAGGGCTCAAACGCCAAGCCCATGAACCAGGCCACGCCAGCGAGGTAGCACAGCACGCTGACAGAGACAGAGCCACAGGGAAGAAATGGCAGATGGCTTTTTAAGCATGATCGTGCTGGTGATTATGCAGTACATGTGACTTTTTAACTTTCTTTTTTTGACTTTCTATTGTTTTTTTACTTTTTCAGCATAGTTGCTTTGGCGATTCTGGAGGACGTTTGACATCCTGCTTTGCCCTTGACTTTACATTCAAGCATATTTGAATTTGAGAGAGCTCAAAAGAGACAATGAGAGAGAAGGCAAAAGGATGCCAACTGACAACACAGAGAGTGAGGAACAGGCAGGGAGAGACTGGGCATGGTACAGATGTGTAAGTCAGACAGGTGCAAGTTATCAAGGTGTGTGAGGGCATGCAGACAGACCAGAGAGGCGTGTTGAGTCGGGTCAGCAGGCTGGTCAGGGCTCTCCTGCGGTTGGGGTCAGACAGCAGGCCCATCTTCCCTCACTTGTCAGCTGAAACCTCGGCACTGCAAAACATGGACCACTGGTCCCACTGCTGTGTGCTCACAGGCTGTCAAGACATAATCCAGAGTCACCACACAAGAAGAGAGAGCACACTAGTTCATCATATTTCTCCAAGCCATTTCAGACATTTTGGACTGACTGGCATATGGATTAGTTCTTATCTGTAAAAGAACTGACTCCCTTTTCAGAATAGTCTGAGACACCCAGAGATTTATTTAACCTGTGTAGTCATTAATCTGGTAGTACGATAACATTTTATTAATATCACAGGTAGTGTATTGGTGATCAATCATTTAGCTACAGATCTGTAATGAATGTTACAGTACCAGGTGGTAATCTATTTGTGCTCACGTATTCTTCAGTATAAACTAAAGACACTGTGGTGCATCAGTGGCTTTATTTTATACTACAGAGTTAATTCACGGGTAACCCAAAAACTACACCTTTCTATCAGAAACACAACACAAATCTCACAAGAACAGGACCTCAATAACAAGACCATGAATGAACAGCCACTCGATAAAAAGCACAGTAATCTTTCTAAGGGTCTTCTACAAAAACACTGCAAGTTTTTGTTTCTTTTCCTCACGTTTTTGTAATACGATCTTGCTCAGAAATATATAATTATTTTTTTTCGCATCAATATTCAAGACAAACATTTCCTACAACTCTGAATTAATAAAACGCTTTTTTTAACGAAACACGTGCGCACGTCATACTAGTTCAATTTTATATAATTTGACCTCTTCAGCATCTTTTCACGTCAACACCTATTGTAACAATATTCCAGCGTGATACTGTGCAGTTCTTTCACTCAACACCCAATGAAACATGACTGTACGATACCTCTTCTACTGCCCTTTTTTGTTCAGTCTATCCGTCTAGCTTTCTATGAGGTTACTGGTATTTTCCAACTACACCGACAGCATAAGCACCACATTTATCAATGTTAATGTCACGTCATTTGAAATGTATTTAAAAAGCCGTCTCTCATGAATACCGAGCTGTGTGTCCTGTCGCCTTCTCCTTCTCTTGACCGGTTCTCCTATTTGCTTAGTGCACAGTGCCACTAATCCAATACGGTGTGCCTCGCCAACCTTAAACCACCACCCGGACTATAACAGCAAAATAAACCGTATTTTGCAGTGATTTACTGTAGGTGCTCTTTACAATACAGTGTGGTTCCTTGTTTCTAGTCGGAACACTGGACACACTTCCGGGAGAAAGAGAAGTACTTCCTGTATCTCTGTAAGTACAGTAAAAGCACGTTTCTCCAGCATCGCCTCCTGTTGGACTGATTTAAGCAGGCTTTAACAAACTGCAATTTTTTTAGGGTTTTAAAAAGGTTAATATTGCAAAAAAAAAAGTAAAAGTGTAGAGAATGATCATTTTTAAACTTATCTATCTTAAAATGATATTATTTGGAATGAAAAAAGCAAATCTCAAGACATCCTAAAACAATTCAGATCTCAGATCTCTATTAAGAAAGGACAAGTTGTAACTCAGGTGATATTTTCAGACATTTTTGTGGTACGGTAGTTATTTAATCTAAAGAAAATGTATTTATGAATATTTTATTAATGTTTAATAACTTTATGGGATAAAAAAACAAGCCATGGCTAAGAGACAAAGAGCTTTACATTTTACAAGACAGGAAGACCATGTGTTGGTTCAGTCAAGTGAAGTCTACAGATGTGAAGGGGTATTAGGAAAACTTCTGCATCTTTTATATCCAAGATAAAGTCATAGCCTTGGCCATTTCAGGGCCGGTTAGCTTAGTTGGTTAAAGTAAGGTGTTAATAATGCCAAGGTCGCAGGTTCGATCCCCATATAGGTCTCCTTCTTTCTTAGCCAGCTGCCATATCAACCTGCAGCTCACAACTGGCAACCCACTGAAGCTAAGCAGGTGTGAGCCCAGCCAGTGCCTGGATAGGAGACCTCCTGGGAAAAACTAAGGTTACTGTTTGAAGTGGTGTTAGTGGGGCCAGTAGGGGGCGCTCATTCTGCAGACTATGTGGGTCCTAATGCCCCGGTATAGTGACGGAGACACTATACTGGAAAGAAGCGCTGTCCTTAAATGTGGTCAGATCCCAATAGGGGTGTAACCCTGGTGTCCTGGCCAAATCTCCCATTGGCCTTTACCAATCATGGCCTCCTAATAATCCCCATCTCTGAAGTGGCTTCATCACTCTTTTCTCCTCCCCCCTGACAGCTGATGTGTGGTGAGTGTACAGGTGTACTATGGCTGCCATTGCATCATCCAGGTGGGTGCTGGTGATGAGGGAGGGAGTCCCCATTACCTGTAAAGTGCTTTGAGTGAAGTATCCAGAAGAGCACTATGTAAGAGAAAAGATAAGATCACTTTATTGGCCATTTACAATTTCTTGTAGGGCCTTGCCAGGGGATGCGATACGAACTGGCAACCTTCCAGCCACAGGTGCAGATCCTTAGCCACAGAGCCACCATGCCGCCCAGTGTAAGTGTAAGGAATTATTATCATTATTATAGAAAAGTGAATAATAATAAGCAAAACACAGACTCACAACACACCTTCCAACCAAGCCTCACAACTGTTTAGAGCTTCTCTCCCAGGTAAAAAACAACAAAAAGTCTTCTACATCGGCCCATTTGATTAAAGACCACTTCAAATTGCAAAGAATAAACATCAATAATTACTTTTTATTGAGGGAAATGCATCAGCTCAAAACAATGTTCAAAGAAACAGATCCAGGATAAACCACACCTGCCAGTTGGGTTCCCCCTATCAGTATCAATACTCTAATTGAGGAGACTGGGAGACTGACACCACACACAAGACGTGAGTATGGACTGGTTTTATTACAGCATGTACAGTACAAGCAGCTACAAATACTCATACAAAAATAGAAACTTCATTCAACAAGCCCTGAGCCCACCACTCCCTCCCCTCCCTCACTCAGCGGTCAGCGTGGTCACCTCCTGCAGGTGCTCCCTGACCACTCTGTCCAGCACTGTGCTCAGGCTCCTGCAGGCGGTCATGGCTGCCTCCATCAGAGTGTCCAAGTGGTCCTGGTGCAGCCGGGCGTCCATCTGCAGCAGGGCGATCTGGCCTCCCTGCGGCAGCAGGGCCAGGCTGAGCACCGTGCCGCCCCCCGCCTCCTCGGCGTGGCACAGGTCCGCCAGGGGCGTGTCCTCCACGAAGCCCGCGCTGCAGGCGCACACGTAGTCGCGCAGAGGGATGCCGGCGTCGATCACGGCCAGGGTGGCCGCGTTGACGCTGGCGCTGTAATTCCCCCCATCTGACTGCAGGATCTGGGGTGGGTGGGTGGTCAACGGTGCAAGTCACAGGAAGAAAATAGAGAGACAGAGAGCAGAAAGGGAGAATCAGGGGAAAGAAGACAAGAAGACAAGATTGAAAACGTTGGTCTTTATACAAATGTAAAGTAAAATGGGTGCTCTGCTCTAAAAGCGTGCACTTTGCACAAATTGTTTACTTTGAAGTAGCAAGTAATATTGTTATACACTTTGCATACCCCAAGCATTTATAGCAAAAAAACAAAAAGAAAGAGGTAAATTAGTTTAAATGAAAAATGGAAATCCATGAACCCATAAGTATCCAAACCTTTTTTTCTGTGTAAAACTTAATAACAGCAAGTGCAAATTCAAGATACCTATGCTAAACTACGTTATGGTTAGGGAGTGCACAACAATACAAAAACATAACACAGCCAAAGGCAAATATTGATTTCATGGGTCTGAATATGTATAAAATCAACATATTTCAGTTTTTTTTCCTCTTTGTTTTTTGCTGACATTTACTGTAACTTAATTTACCCTTAGATATCTTCAGTTTGAGCGTTCAGGTTTTGAAATGAATATTGAGTTCACCCTCGTTTTGGATTTTCCAAAAAAGGGACACCGCAGGAAGTGCTTGCGCAAGGCACTGTGTATGAGCTGGGAGGGGCGCTTGTGAGCTGCGGTATTACCTTGACGTATATGTCTATCTGTGAGCGCGGGTACAGCTGTGTCAGGATGGCCGCCTCAAAAGTCTGCTTGAGGTGCTGGCTGACCTCACTGGACTTGCGGTCGCCATGCGGCCTCCTCTTCCTCTCCGCCGTGCTGAAGGTGGCCATGCTGAACTGGCAGTTGATGACCGCGCGGTCATGGAGGGCCTTCCCGCGAGACCCACGCACCTGCGGGCACAGAGAGGAGCCGCGTGGGTGATGAATCTCAGACACCCCGGCACCGAGCTGCACGGCGCTCACACCCCACTGAAATACACCGTGTGGAGTGATGTTCCCCTGTGCGTTGATCAAATACACAATTACAACTTCTTTTTTCATAGCAGATTGGTCTTCCGGCAAAGCTCAATCTCTAAGGGAGCCTGAGACACAGTAATCATCCTGTAAGTGCATCTGCTCAAATCCTACCATCTCCATCCATCCCCAAGCGACTCCTGAACCACTGATCTAGCCAAGCTGGGATAATTTTTCCTAACAAGTAACAGACTTCCCGAGAATGTGAGAGTGCACAGTGCTTGACGTATCCTAGTTGGTCATGGAAAGGCACAAATGTCACATTGTTCTCCAAGGTGATCATTTTCCAACCATGTCTGGGGGATCCTCAAGTACCAAGAGCTGACAAGGCACAGTTTAATCCAGCCACAACACCACACAAGTAATAATAATTGCTTACACTTATATAGCGCTTTTCTGGACACTCCACTCAAAGCACTTAACAGGTAATGGGGACTCCCCTCCATCACCACCAATGTGCAGCATCCACCTGGATGATGCGACAGCAGCCATAGTGCGCCAGAACAGTGACAAAGCCAATTCATAAATGGGGATTATTAGGAGGCCATGACTGCTAAAGGCCAATAGGAAACTTGGCCAGGATGCTGGGGAACCCCTATTCTTTTCTAAAAACACCCTAGGATTTTTAACAACCACAGAGAGTCAGGACCTTTGTTTTATGTCTCATCCGAAGGATAGTGCCTTTTTTCCCCACAGTAGTGTCCCCATCACTATACTGGGGCATTAGGACCCACACACACCGCAAAGTGAGCACCTTCTACTGGCCCCTCTAATACCTTAATACCTCTTCCAGCAACGACCTTCCGTTTTTTCCAGGAGGTCTCCCATCCAGGTACAGACCAGGCTGACACCTGCTTAGCTTCAGTTGGTTGCCAGTTGCGAATTGCGGGGTGATATGGCTGCTGGCAATTCATAACTGATAACTTTTCATAACTGATCGCCAGAGCACCGTACAGCAGACCTTGAGTACTATAACAAGCACTGGAGCAGAGAACAGCACAAAACACAGAAATAAATAAACAGTGGCTTATTTTAATGTAACTCTGAAGTTTAAAAGGCGAAAGAATCATTCATGTTTTATGAGGTCAGCCTAATACTGTATCATTACCTCAGTGGCACTGCACAAGCTATGAGAGACCCAGGGACACCTGCTAAGCTCTTCACTGTTCGGAATCTGGAAGGCTAACATTTCTGCAGATTAGACGACACTACAGGATACCTGATCTGCAGATCTCCCACTACCTCCTGTGCACTGTATTGCTCTGTACTGTCCGCTCCCTTTCCTGCCTCTGCCAAAAGCATAACCAGACGTCTCTAATGTTTTTGTACTGCATTTTAAACCTTGCTTGCAAAGTGCTAATGTTACATTCAATTGCAGATCATTTCACACAGCCACCACTGGTGAAACCCCTGTGATATTTTTCCTAATGGACTGGTCAGTCTTGTCTGCAGAAGGTCTGGATGTTCTACGTATACAGTGGCATACTTCCATGTGAGTACCCACACAGCTGTTTCACTGTTCTACGTTCAAGTGCTCAGCAACAAGGCAATTTATCAAAGAGCTTAAATTCCATCACGATGTGGTTCTTGTTCATTGCTTCACAGGCAATGGTGACTTGAGGTGCCATTTGTGCAGAAGCACAGACTGCTGTGCCACTGTCTGTGTGTATTTAACCTCAGTCAGGCCCTATAGCTCAGTTTCACAGATGTTTCTCAGCATCATCTCCAATGCTTTTTCAGATAGCCTATAATTTCTATATATATATATTCAAGGAGGGATCTTTGTTATAGTTGTTATCATAGATATAGAAAAATGGTCAAAACATTTTTCACAGGCTTTTTAGTTTTCCTGTGCCCTAGGTAGAGTACCTGCTGTGCCTACTGGATAATATGACCTTACCCTCAACAAGGTAATAAATTACCTAGAGTTCCAGCTGCTCACAGAGATCACTTATACATGTTTATACTGTACACAGTTTCCATATAACTGTATTCCCAGGCATACTTTCAGACAGTGTAACAAAACATCACTTAATTAGCCCTGTACAGTTTCTTGCATTAGGAATTCGTCTTTTCGCATACCCCAGCTTGCTCTCCATGAGACACAGACACACAGACAGGGAGAGAAGCTTGGGGTCAGATCGCAGGGTGAGCCATTGTACAGCCCCCCTGGAGCAGCTGGGTTAAGGGCCTTGCTCAGGGGCCCAATGGAGTAGGATTCCTCTGGGGGCTTCAGGATTTGAACCAGCAACCTTCCAGCCACAGGCACAGGTCCTTAGCCACAGAGCCACTGCTCAGCCCATCTATAAGTTTTTAAAATTGCCTGAAACTAAAAATAATTCATATGCAAATTAAGATGAAAATGTTGCAGAGATACATACTGGTGGTTAATAACTCACAACACCCATCAGCTGTTAAACCCACTGATCAATGAAAGTGAGAATTCACTACAGGTAGGTTTTGTAGATGGCTTATTTATAAAACCTAAAAAGCTACCTGGATCATATTAGGATATGCATGGGCAGCACAGTAACAGAGTGGTTGTATTGCTGCCTTGCAGCGCTGGGGCCCTGGGTTCAATTCCTGGATTCATCTCTGTGTGGAGTTTGAATGTTCTCCAATCAGCCTCTTGTGGATTTCCTCCAACTGTCCAGAAAAAATCGGTCCTGTGTGTGTGTGTGTTGTGTGCATCCTGGGATGGATTGGTATCCATTCCAGGGTGTACTTTGCCTTGCTCCTGTTGCTTGCCGAGATAGGTTCCGGCCATTCTGCAACACTGTATTGCATAAAGTGTTTAGAAAATAGACTGATAGCATATGCATAGTATATGCAGAACTGAAACAGCAACTAACGAATTCATATTTAAAATAACTTCGTCTGTGGTTAATTTAAGAAGGTTGCATTACGTAACTAAAAAAGTGAACGTAATCTCGTTCAAAGAGCAGGTCTTATTCTTACTGAAATAGTCCATGTGAACAAACTGTATACGGTCACCCTAACTGTACAGCTTTCAGATTGAATCGTCTCGAGCATACCCCTGACGTTGCATGTAACTTCCTCTGTGCATCAACGGCAACGTCGATCGGATTAATCAAAAATGATAAATCACTTTCACAAAGGAGCTTCGAACGTTACGATCATTCTCTATGAAATTAATGCCAGTCATTGAAAGGCAGAAGGCTGCCTACTCTACACACACCCCGGGCCCGGCTACTTTCCCTGCCTGCCAGGAGACTCACCTCATGCGGTCCGTACACTACCGCGAGCGCCTTGGTGTTCCCCTGCTCGATGTAGGCAGACCCATCGCCTTGCGCGAAGACCCCCATGCGGGCTTGCACCTTGCGGAGCTCGGAAGGCTTCCTCCCATCCAGCCGGTATCCCTGATCGGACAGCAACTCTAACCCGGCCATGTTTCAAAACTCATGTGCGAAAGTGATACAGCCCGTCAAATAAAAAAAAAAAACTACTATACCCACAATCCTTCTGTTTTGCCGTCGCTCTATATATTGTCATCTTGTTCGTCATCTTCCTTGTCTTACGTAGTGTATTGCATATTCATTATAAAATCCTTGTCAGTAATGTTCCGCATTTTTAGGATTTCATGTTTGCCCTTCGTGATGTCCCATTAAACACGTTTTTGTTTGAGTCTCTCAATTAAAAACATTAAAATTAAACATTTTTACTTTTAGCTTGTGACGCTTATATTACACAACATATAGAAGATGCAAATACTTTTTAAATGCATTTTGAACGACAAAGAAAAATGTTTACAGTAAAATAAGCAAATCAGGTTAATACGTTAAACAGTTTGCCCCTCGGGGATATTAAAGACGTTCGAAACTCCTCACATCCTGGGGGTGTCAGTGACCCACCATGCATGATAACGTTGTCTTTTGAACCCAAAGTTTCTTGCAAGCTTGAAAGCGCAGATACAGCGTTTTAATAACAAAGCCGAGAGGAGGAACGGGGCTCGGGAATTGATTGGCTGGCCAGTAAGGTCTCATGCATTCTCCCAGAGCAGTCTGGATAAGATCTTTTCTGTGGCAAGAGAGAGAGAGGTAGCTTGTGGAGGTGTAAGAAGGAGCTTAGTTAGTCCCCGAGGTCAACGTAAAGCAGACAGGTACAGTTTGGTGTCAACAAAGCAGGTAAAGGAGATCTCACTGCACTCCACTGTTCAACAACCTCGATTTCATCAGAAAATCACACCGAGACTGCGAGACGTCAGACCGTGTTGGAGCCAGACTCATACTTCGTGTTCAGTGCTTGTCTCGATGTAAGTCTGACTTGACTGGGTACAATCTGCGTACGGCGCAAAGCAGAGAAAACTGATAAACTGGAAACTGGCAGTGATGTTGTCAACGTTAACGATGTATCTTTCTTTATCACTAATTTTAACTTAATTATATACTGTTTAGAAATAAAAAAGTAGTAGAATTTACTTTGAAATTAAGCAACAAGTCAAGAATGTTACTTTTCTTCACGGTTGAGATATCGGGAAAGATACACAATGTAAAAAAAAAATGGCAGTCCAATCTTGGACCAGGGGTAACTGGCAAAACTGTCAAATCTCAGAGCTTAGAAGGCATAGACATGGTCAGTACTGGGATAGGAGACCTCCAAGGAAAGCCAGGCTGCTGCTGTGAATGGTTGTGGACCAGCAGGGGGGACTGTGCACCAGAATTTCCAAACCAGTGCCTCACATTGGTGTCCAGGGACACTGCTGTAAGGTATGCTATCCTTGTGGTGAGAAATAAACAAAACATCTGTGTGTGTTAAAGATCTAAGAGCAAATGTTAAGATAATTGAGGTGTTATCTTAACACTTTAATATAGCCTGGTCCACCTGATGTGATATGTAGTAGGACAGCTGCTGTAGAATATTTGAGGGTGTTATATGAAGCTACTGGTTTTTGGGGTGAAGTTTTTACATTTGTTTCTGGGGTCCCTCTGGACAGTGTCTGAGAAGTGTCAGGAGTTCCAAGGCACATTGCTGGGAAAGACTGGGAGATTTGCATATGTTATGCATTAGAGTGTACATGCATAGTAGAGTAATACAGGATCCAGAACTATACAACACAGGTTCAACAGTTCGGCAGTGAAAGAAATGCAGAACTTCTTACAGAGACATTTAAAAAGGAATGTCATTTAATCTAATGCAGAAAGTCATGTATTCCTGATAGTAGCTGTGGCAATCTAGGGCTGTTATTGGTAGCACATGGCTCAAGACAGAAGTACAAGCTGGAAGAAAAACCAGTAAAACCACTGAAAAAACAGTATTCTGAGAACTTACTGACTGATTCCTGCAGTGCATGTAATCTAAAAAAAATCACTTAGTCCATCACAGGACACACACTCACTAGGTAACCAAACAGGCACACTAGGTAACCCTACCAGTATATGCTTGGAAGGTGTGAGGAAACCAGAATAGACACAGGACCATGGACACTCCATGGAGAAAGCACATCAGGCCTGAATGGAACTCAGGACCCAAGAGCTATGAGGCTGAGTTAATGCCCATGTCATCTAACATAGAAAGGGAATGTTATCTACTCTATGTGCAAACTCTAAAAAACACTTTTGTAGTTACCTATAAGTGTAATGTTACACATTAACCTTTTTTCACAAAGCTTTAACTGATAACTGTTGAGAACAGTTTGCCATAGCAAGTGCTGGGCTTCTAATCTTTGTTCATGTGGATTTGGCTATTGCAGTAACAGTAGTATGCATCTGTGGGCACTATGAAAAACTAAACTTGCGGGACCAAGTTCTTTGTTGTCCCTTTTTTGAGCATTCAAATACAGATACAAATACCATATCTTTCAAAACCCTGTGTAAGAGAAGGCATCAATTTTGTTTTTTCTTTTCCATTGTATTGCTAGAATACTCTGTTGCTAAATTTTTACCCTTAAAAATGTACAGTTGCTTTCAAACAATGAATAAATATTGTCCTGTCCTGGAGTAAAAAGCTACAGAATTAAACTTGTAGGTCATCTCATTACAGGGCCAGGCTGATGTGTCTAAGATCCCGGGGTATCTTTCTATACTGTGTGGCTGGGCAGTATAGTCCATTGCAATTATTCAAATTCAGTTTCAATGAGCTTTATTGGCATGACCAACCAATTATGAAATTGCCAAAGCAATAACAAGTTCAAAGGCATGTTCAGTCATCTACAACAACACAAAAATATTATTTGGGAAGCTCGATCTTCGTTTCTGAGTCTGTAATAGTTGATCTTCTACTGGGCTTCCAGCTCTATATTTGTTTTCTAATCCTCTCCCGCAGTTGGATTGGAAACTGTTGTGATTCTAGCAGGAATGGAAATTAAACTTGTTATTTTAAGGAGGTATCTTTCTCTGATACCAGAGTATGTCGTGCACTACAGCAGAAAGTGCATCTCTGTCTCTGTCCTGCTGACAGTGGGAAAACAGCCTGTCCTCTCTAGGCAGCCAGGTCTGCCTGTGTTGACCAGTATTTATGGGCATATTGTGAAAAATACTTCACCCAATAACAAAGTATTGTCTAGTATCAGTGAAGGACCTTTCTGAATTGAAGGAAACTTTAAAACTTTGGAAGAGGTGTTAGTGAGGCCAGCAGGGGGCGCTCACTCTGTAGTCCATGTGGGTCCTAATGCCCCAGTAGAGTAATGGGGACACTATACTGTAAACAGGCGCCGTCCTTTGTATGAGATGTAAAACAGAGGTCCTGACTCTCTGTGGTCATTAAAAATCCCAGGGCGTTTCTCGAAAAGGGTAGGGGTGTAACCCCGGCGTCCTGGCCAAATTTCCCATTGGCCCTTACCAATCATGGCCTCCTAATAATCCCCTTTATGAATTGGCTTCATTACTCTGCTCTCCTCCCCACTCATAGCTGATGTGTGGTGAGCATCCTGGCGCATTATAGCTGCCGTCGCATCATCCAGGTGGGGGCTGTACATTGGTGGCGGTAGTGGGAGTCCCCATTACCTGTAAAGCGCTTTGAGTGGAGTGTCCAGAAAAGCGCTATATAAGTGTAAGCAATTATTATTATTATTATTATTATTATTATTATTTTTCCCTCAATATTTTACCACTTTATACATTTCTTCCCTTGGCCACAACAATATCTGTATACTCAGCTGTCTTGCTTATTTTACATACAATCGGTCCCTTCATTGCCGTCTCTCCTCGATTTTCCTCTTCTCCCTCAGCATGGCGGCCGTGCTGGAGAAGTTTGACTTTGCAATCGATCGGGGTGGCACCTTCACGGACGTGTATGCCCGCTTGCCCGGAGGCCGGGAGCGAGTCCTCAAGCTCCTCTCACATGACCCCCAGAATTACCGTGACGCCCCGACTGAGGGCATTCGCCGAATTCTGGAGGAGGTGAGGGACAGGGGAGAACGGGAGATGGTTGGATGGTGGAGAGGGAGTCAATAAATGAAGGGGTAGAAGCAGAAGGAATAGTGTCAGAAAAAGAGGGTGGGGGGAGTGAGGAACTGGGAATTCTATTCTGTCCTAATAATCTCTATGACCTCTGGCATGTGTCTTGATTGTGTCTGTTTGCTTTCTTGGCTGGTCACCTGGTGTATCTGTCTCCCCATAACCCAGGAGACTGGGCGGGCATTCCCCCGAGATGAGCCCTTAGATCCTTCTCTGATTGGCTGGATCCGGATGGGGACGACAGTGGCAACCAATGCGTTGCTGGAGAGGCGGGGCGAGAGGACTGCCCTCCTGATCACCCGTGGCTTCCGAGACCTGCTGCACATTGGGACCCAGGCCCGACCTGCGCTGTTTGACCTGGTCAGCCCCACACTGAGTCTACTTTCTTCTCTGGTGATGCTGTGTGTGAACCACCTGTCACTTCAAAAGCAGACATTGCTTTGGATCGCCTCAGCTTCCAAATTTAGAGTGATTCAGGTGTTATTTATCATGGCTGTTTCTAGATCTAATTCAAATTTAATATAACTAATTTATATGAATGGCATTTTTATCCAAAGATCTCTACAATAAAGAGATGGCAATATCTGGATCTTGTTGCCTGAAGATGAGTGTGACTACATGTGATGCTGTTTGTTGTCTTGAAGGAGGTACAGATGGCAGAGATGCTGTATGAGGAGGTGATCGAGGTGGACGAGAGGGTGGTGCTGAAACAAAAGGGCTGCGAGCTGCCCAAAAGAGCACCAGAGCACACCGTCACAGGTACTGATCCAGTGAGCCGTAATCAAAGACCTGACCCTATGATCCTCCATCATAGGTGCTGCCCCAGTGACCCACTATCACAGTAACTGATACACTGACACTATTGCAGTCTCCCCGACACAGATACCGGCCCACTGACACATCATCACAAATACTGACATACCACCACTGTGTACTTGCAGAACAAACCTTTGTTGCACACACACTGACACTGGCATACTGATGCTGTCAAAAGCACTGACACACTGAGAAGGAGACAAGGTGACACATCAACACAACTACACCAACACGTTGAGATACAACAGGTACACACACCAACACACTGACGCAAGGCAAGTCCTGACCTATGTCATCAGTACCGACATGGGTTGGTATGGGCAAGTACAGAAAAGAGTCTCTTTTACTGACACTGTGATAAGTTTCAACACACTCGCAAAGGTACTAACACAGGTATAGGGTGAATAACAAGGACAATGATACATTGGCAGAGGTGTGGACTGACTGACACAGATACAGTATACTGTATACACAATGACACAGGTATTGACACATACGTCCACGGTGATAGTTTTCAAAGAGGATTTGTACACATTTTCTGCTGAACATGCAAAACTGGTCAATAAATATGATTGAGAATTTTTAGGTAAGCCAAAACTTTTAAATTATGCTTTTTTTTCCAATTTAAGACTAAGATTACAAAAAGGAGGCTTCTGAATCAGATTTAACAAATAATTTCAATCCGCAATCTCAAAAATTGAGTCCTCCACAATGAGTCTGAGCCTTGTTGAACAGCACTGATCCCTTTTTGTTTCTGTTAGCTTGGAGTTTTATTTCAAAAGCAGCAGGAAAATGAAAGTTTGGATAGTTGTCAGTATTCATGTGAATTTCAGACAGCTATCTTTCTTGTGGATAGTGGACAGTGGATAGTGTCAGCCAGTTGATGTCAGTACTTTGGTTCTTATTGCTTGCCCAGCCTGTCTGTCCTTGATCAGGGTGCGTGGGAAACCTTGTTCCCTGTCTTCACAGGCAGCACAGGGGAGAGCCTGGAGGTGTGGCGCACAGTGGACCTGCAGCGTCTGGAGAGTGACTTGCGGGGAGTGCTGTCGCGCGGCATCACCAGTCTGGCTGTGCTGCTGTTGCACTCGTACACGTCAGTATCACTCTCTCCACACCCCCGTATTCTCTCTCTCTTAGGTCTCTCTTTGAATCTCTTCATCTTCCTCCCCCACTCTTTCTGCAGAGCACAAGGCTGCACTGAGCGCAAAGTATATTATGTTTTTACATGCAGCTTGTGCTTAAGCAGTATCCTATGCACTGTGTGCTGGAGTACTATTTTTGAGCTCTAATTGGTCCAAATATGAGCACTTGATAACATGGTATGATCAGTTGGATGGATTTTTAATAAATGTAGATAAAAAAGAAAGACAGATCACAAATATATGTCCAACCTGTCATCTGCGGTTAATTATACCTTGTCAAAAATCCTATAATGAACAACAGTCTTTTGTGTTCTCATCTTCCTCACCTTTTGTCTCTTATTCTGTCTCTCTCTTGTCTTTCTAACCCTTCTGCTCTGTCTCCTCACCCCCTGCTTCTCTCCCACTTTTTTATCCCTCTTCCTCTGCTCCTACTCTTCTCTCCTGTTGTCCCAGGTGGCCTGCCCATGAGCAGGCAGTGGGCTCCTTGGCCCGCAGGCTGGGGTTCTCGCAGGTCTCCCTGTCTAGTGAAGTGATACCCATGGTGAGGGCCGTACCCCGGGGGTACACTGCTGCTGCTGACGCCTACCTCACCCCCAAGATCCGGGAGTACCTGCACGGATTCACTCAGGGCTTCAAGGGCGGACTGCAGGTCAAGCAGGGCTTCAAGAGTGTGGGGCCTTGGTTAGGAATGGGTTTGAGCAAGAGGTGCACAGAGTGCAGAAGCCATTCAGGGAGGAGGCAGGTAGAAGATAGAGGGACAGAGGTACTGTGAATGAAGAAGTAGAGTGGGAAAGGGAGGGAGGGAGAGAAAGAGTTAGATGAGAGGAAGAAAGGGATACAGCACAGGAGGGTGTGGAAGTGGCTCTGGGCCCACAGGGCGGTGTGGTGGCTCTGTGGCTAAGGATCTGTGGCTGTGGCTAGAAGGTTGCCAGTTCGAATCCCGTAGCCAGCAGAGGAATCCTACTCTGTTGGGCCCCTGAGCAAGGCCCTTAACCCCAACTGCTCCAGGAGCACCATTTAAATGGCTGACCCTGTGCTCTGACCCCAAGTTTCTCTCCCTGTCTGTGTATCTCATGGAGAGTAAGTTGGGGTATGCGAAAAAAGAAATTCCTAATACGAGAAATTGTATATGGCCAATAAAGTAATCTAATCTTATCTTTATCTTATCTAAGTGGAAGTATTATTGTGCATCTTGCTGTGTATCTAAGTGGAAGCATTATTGTGCATCTTGCTGTGTTCAGACTCGGTTTCTCCTGCATGATTAGCTCATTCTCTCTGTCTCTCAGGGGGTCAGTGTGTTGTTCATGCAGTCAGACGGGGGGCTCACGCCCATGCATCAGTTCTGTGGGTCCAGGGCAGTTCTTTCGGGACCTGCAGGGGGTGTGGTTGGCTACGCTGTGACCACCTACAGCCAGGAGGAGAAACAGCCAATAATTGGCTTCGACATGGGAGGTGAGGAGACTGTGGACAGGAGGAGTAAGGGAGACCGATTTCCAAAGTGAGCATCAGAGAGAGAGAGAATGGAAGACAGAGAGAGAAGAGAGGAGGGATGGAGAAGATGAAAGAGTATTGGAGATGAGGTGAGAAGAGAGGGCTGGGGCTGGAGTTCAGGTAGAGACAAGATCATGGTGAATGAAGGATTTTTGTTTAGGGGAAACAGAAAGCTCTCTGACAGGACAGGATTGGAATTTTGGAATTTGGAAGTGGAATTTTCTTTAAAGTCCAACATCCAAACAAACCTTTACCAGTTTGTTAAGGCTTTTCTTTGTTTTAGCTATGCCTACTTTATGTTTTTCTGTTAAAGATTTTGGACCACTCCAGTAAATGGGAGAGGAGTTCTCAAAAACATTATGCAATCAAGCTCTGTCAGTTGTGTCAGTTTGTGTCTGATTCTGTGTCTTGGCCAATGTGTCTCTCTGGCTGTTTGCCTGATTGGGTCTCTCTCTGACACACAGTACCCACAAAGCTCCTATGATCTCTGCACCTCTGTTGCTTCTCTGTTTGTGTATCTGTTGCATTGGCTTGCTCACTCTGTTCCAGGTACCTCCACAGATGTCAGCCGGTTCGGGGGGCAGTATGAACACGTGTTTGAAGCGATGACAGCAGGGGTTCCCCTGCAAGCACCCCAACTCGACATCAACACTGTGGCCGCAGGGGGAGGCTCCCGGCTCTTCTTCAGGCGAGTGAACAAACAACTCCCACATGGAGCCTGTTAAATTCCCACCTACAACCCTGAACTCCAAAATATCCTAAGGATCACATACACACCAGAAACCCTAGTAAGCTCCAGATATCACATTTACAGACCCTTAACTACAGCTGGACTACATCCACCAACAGTTGTACCCCAGTTACACTTACATTGATGCTCACCCTCCTAAACTCACTGACACGGGGAGTATGATCTGTGTTTGTGCAGTGTTTATGCTGCGTTCAGTGAATACAGCCTAACTCTTTCCCTCTCAGGTCAGGATTGTTTGTTGTGGGACCCGAGTCGGCAGGAGCACACCCAGGGCCTGCTTGTTACAGAAAGGGTATGAGGTTCACGCTGTTCCATGTTGTGTCCTGTGCTTTGCCAATATCCTGCTTTGGTCGGAGTTGATTGCATAGTTTTACACAACAGATCAAACAAAAAACAGACCACTGAGGCAACAAAAAAACATGCGTGGGAATCTGATACAATAGAAAATCGTGTAATAATGTAGGCATCCTTCAGTGTTTTGACAATGTAAAAGTAATCCTGACACCAATTTAAAATACTGAACCTATAATCAGGTAATGAAAACTGACCATTGTGTGATGTCAATGTTTTTCTAGCACAGTGAAATGGCAGAGCACTGAAAAGGTACAAGATACAATTACGATATTTAGAAACACTTAATACATTCTGTTAACATAACTGGTTCTTTAAAGATATTTTGAAAGACTGCGAGCCCCTGAGCCCTCACCTTCTGCAGTCCAAAACTACTGTCAGTTGTCCCTCAAAGATGGGCCAAGCTTAGTACAAACAGAGACACAGCTGTTAGGTAATGTCTCTGTACAATGCAAGATCCTCTTCATGACACTGTGCTCAGTCATTTTGGTCTGATGCTAGATGAGCTGTTTCACAAACCATGTTCCACATCACAGACGTAAAGGCACAAGGGGGATAAAATGAAATGAGTCATAAAAACATAAAAATTTGTTAGCAGAAATAGCTGTTAGATCCTAGCCTTAAACTAGTAGGCCTGAATTGTTGGAATTTTAGTCTGTAGGAATGTGGAACTCACTCATGGACCAGTCCTATTTCTGATATATCAAATTGGTCTTGGTCTGGCCACTCAAGTCTTAGGTTATTTTTTCATAACCTTCTTGGGCATCTTCCACTGAGGTCTCTGTTCAGTTTATCTTCCGCCATAGTAAGAGATTCTGGCTCACTGCAACAGACCTCTTAAATTATCCATCCTCCAGCCTTGGCAAAAGACCTATGATTGGTGGGAGGTTCCTAAAAAAAGCACTAAACACCTCCCTAACCTGACCTAGTGTGCAAAAAGTTACATTGTTTTCTTCTGGCTATAATACCAAAAAAGATTTATATTGTAATTCCTATGATAAACGCTGACCTCTAGGCCAGAGATTATAGCCCTGAACAAGATATTTGGTGATTTAAGTAGTGCTTGCTTCAGTGATCTGTCACTGCTGGCTTGTGGAATCCCTCTGGATTCTGAAGTCAAGCCAGTTGTCCACTTTCAGAAAAGCCTACTCAGTCCAAAAACCTATCCTTCACAGAGATTAGTCCCCCAAAGATCTTCAGTTCCTCTTTTCATGTGGAACAACTCTTCAGTCCTCTCAACTGGCACACTCAAACTGGCTCTCCCATGCACAGCCAGCACAGGTTCCATTTACCTGGAAGGATCTGGTCCCATTCCTACTGTGGGATTCCTAGCACATTCAATTGGGATCACCCTTCCACAGCCAGTTTTCCCAAACATGGAGGATACATGTTCCTACTGGCACCTACTTAGCCTCTGGTTCCCAGTTTCCAACAATAAACACTACCAATCTACTACACAATAGAAGGACTACAGAGAATTCAAGCTAATCCAGGAATACACAGTATACTACACACTACTAAATTATCTCTGGATTCCTCTTTCTTTACTAAATCCCATGCTTAACAATCCTTGCAAGTCGTCATCGTCTCTAACGCTTCAGACCTAATACTGGTTAGTTACTGGCAGTTTTTAACTCCTGTGCTATCTAAACTCACTACACTCCAGGAATGCACTCCCGCACTGAACTGCATGAGGTAAGACTCAGCTCCCTGCCTCCCTGCCTCCTGCACTTGACTGCTGCATCCAGTTTACTTTAGAGAAGGAAGAGGCTTCAGAAAAACCTCAGCTTGCTCCATTATAATTCCATTGCAGTATTCCATATGTCTCTTGGTTTTTGTATCTACATATATGCTTGGAATGTACTGTGCCCCCTTCTGAAACAGTTTATTTTAAATTATTTTCTTCCCCGTGTAGATTTCTCAATTGATTTATAACATATTTTCTCTGCTAATTTCCTATCCATTGAGTTCCATTCTAATTCTCTTAAGGTGTGTCTCATTCTTTCATACTGTACATTTGTACTCTACATTTACAGTTTTAAAGTATGCAAACATAAAAGCAGTTTGGGGTGTTAATAAGGAGCATTTTGGATCCGGTTTACTGTGTCAAACGTGTGTTCAATGTGGGTGTATATGTGAGTTTAGTGTATGTTTTTTGGTGTATGTTTTACTTTACTCTTCAGTAAAGTGAAGTTCTTTAAAGTTGTTGTGATCTTTTATGTTTTTAGAAGATTAATTAATGTTGATATTAAAATGACTTAAATGCTAAATTCCACAAACAAAAGTCTAAAATTTGAATTTATGTGATTTTATCATGGAAGCCAGTCCAAACAGTAGTGTATTTGTGTGTAATGTGTACTTTGGGTCTCCAGGTGGCCCCCTTACTGTGACGGATGCTAACCTTGCTTTGGGACGCCTGCTGCCCGACTTTTTCCCACAAATCTTTGGCCCTAATGAGGATGAACCGCTGTCCCGCAAGGAGAGTCTGCACCAGTTTTCTGCGCTTACTGAAGACATTAACCGCTTCCTTGCCACCCAATTGCAGCACGACTCTAACGTGGTTGGCCAGTCAGAGACTGGTACTGATATTGATGGACAGTGTCAGACTGGAGTTCTTAAGCCAGGCCAGTCAGAGATGAGCATAGAGGAGGTTGCCATGGGTTTCATCCGTGTCGCTAATGAGGCCATGTGCCGTCCAATCAGAGCACTGACGCAGGTAATATGCCCCCCCAAAGAAGTGTGTTACATATTTATAAAACAAACAACTTTTTAGAGAGTGCCTTTCAGGCACTTTTACATTTTCTCAAGTCTGTGCAATGCAAAAAAATTCCAACAGACAGGTATTCATAAATTAAAACAATAAATGAAGCGTTATAGAGATCTACAATTCTAGAGGTGAGATTTAAGACAAGATTTGGCAGTGCTCAGTGACTTGTAAGTTCTGATATCAATACAGTTTTTTAAGCAGCAGAACAGAAAGCATCATCTCTCAGTGTTTGGAGATTCAATTTGCTAACTGAAAGAAGGCCAGGGTCCAAACAGTAAAAACAGAAGTTAGTATTCACAGATGAGCAGCAGAAGGTGCAAGTGTTAAGCCAGGTCTTTTAAGGGTATGGATTTCATTCTGGGGTAAATAAACATTTCAGTTTTCCTAGCAGTGGAGGGAGGATATAAATGGTGTTTCATATTCCCTTTCTTAGGCAAAGGGGCATGATACGTCTCGGCATGTGTTGGCATGTTTTGGAGGAGCAGGGGGGCAGCATGCCTGTGCCATTGCGCGGGCACTGGGGATGAAGACTGTCTTCATACACAAGTGAGTGATGGCGATCACAAGTGGACATGGAGGCAGGAGAAGGGCGTTCAGCATGTGTGTACAAATAGGCTTTATTTAAGTTCTGAGTCCTTCTCTGTTTCCTTTCTTTCTGGTTCTCAAAATCGGACACTTTGGCAGCACTAATCTGATGGTAGAAAGTATGATTCCCGTCTCGGGCTCTATGACAGGATCCTTCAAACCTCCCCCTGCTATCGATCTAGCTCACCTTTCTGTTTCCTGCCCACCTTTTTTCAAGATCCAAGAGTTTTGAAATATGTCTTTGTTAGCACAACTCATGCAGTTAGATCAGATCGCAGGTTCGTTTCCCTCCCTCTCCATCCGGCCCAGGTGAGTGATCTCTCTGTCTCCTCTCTCTGTCTCAGATACAGTGGTGTGCTGTCTGCCTACGGGCTGGCCCTGGCGGATGTGGTGGAGGAGCTGCAGGAACCGTGCTCCTGGTGCTATGAGTCACAGTCGTTCCCCCTGCTGGATGAGAGAGTGGAGTGCCTCATGCTGCGCTGCCAGGACATGCTGCGAAGCCGTGGCTTCAGCAGGTCAGCTAGTGTACAGCACACAGCAAAGCACTGAGCCCACATGTGCTGCACAACAAGACCTGCACAGCT